TATATACTTCCTCTTGCAAGTCACCATGTAAGAAAGCATTTTTGATATCAAGTTGTAGAAGAGGCCATTGATAAAAGGCAGCAAGTGCAAGATATAGGCGAACAGATGCCATCTTGGCAACAGGAGAAAAAGTATCCCCATAGTCAAGACCAAATATCTGAGTGTATCCCTTGGCCACCAAACGAGCTTTGAGGCGATCAATAGTGCCATCAGGACCAATTTTGACAGTGAATACCCATCGACAACCGACTTTCCAGGAGTAACATGAACAAGATCCCATGTGCCATTGGAGTGAAGTGCTTGCATTTCATCAATCATTGTTTGACGCCAACCCGGATGAGAGAGTGTTTCACCTGTGGTTTTAGGAATAGAAATAGACGAAATACTAGAAACAAAAGTAAAATGTGGTGAAGAAAGTCTATCATAACTCAAGAAACTATAAAGTGGATGAGGGTTACGAGTGGATTGAATACCTTTGCGAAGGGCAATGGAAGTAGTCTCTGATGGAGGATCCGGAGGGGAAGAGTCGACAGCAGCAGGCGGTGAGTCAGTAAGGGTCAAATCTGCTGGAGGCGCAGGCTGACGACGCTGATAGGTGAGAAAAGGACTGTCCTCAAGGATGGAGGCAAGGGGTTGCTCCCCCGGGATAGAGTCTCCTGCAACTGGTAAAGACAAATCAAGACAAGGAACATGAAGAACTTGATCAACTTGTGTTATCTGAGATGGGATAGAATGAAATGGTTGTTGATCAAGGAAAGTGACATCATCCGAGACAATATAACGCTTGAGATCAGGAGAGTAGCAACGATACGCTTTTTGAAAACGAGTATATCCAAGGAAAATACACTTGAAGGCTTTGGATGTTAATTTATCTTTTCCTAGAATAAGATCATGAACAAAGCAGGTACATCCAAATACATGTGGAGGTAGAGGATAGGAAGGTGCTCCTGAAAATAAAACACTATGAGGAACTTCGTTATTGAGTATGGAAGAGGGCATGCGATTGATGAGAAAGCAAGAGGTGAGTATAGCATCTGCCCAAAAACGAAGTGGAACATTCATATGAATTAGTAGGGTACGAGCAGTTTCAACCAGATGTCGATTCTTACGTTCGGCCACTCCATTTTGTTATGGAGTGTGTGGACAAGTGGTCTGGTGTAACGTCCCACGTTTCTCCAAAAAATTAGAAAACTCAAAAGACACATATTCTTTTGCATTATCACTGCGCAAAATTTGAATAGAAGCACCAAATTGAGTATTTATCTCAGCACAATTTTTGATAAATTGAAAATAATTCAGAACGTTTTTTCATTAAATAAACCCAAGTGCAACGAGAGAAATCATCAATAAAGGTGACAAAATACTGAAAACCCAAAACAGTTCGACTCGGACCCCAAATATCAGAATGAACAATAGAAAAAGGAGCATAAGCTCTTTAATCGACCCTATTAGCAAAAGAGGAGCGAGTGTGTTTTCCTTGCTGACAAGAATGACAGTTTAAAGACTTAAGATTGGATAAAAAGGGAACCATATGCTGAAGCTTGGAGAGGTTTGGATGACCCAGGCGGCTGTGAATTAGCTCAGGAGACTCTGAGAGAACAGGCTACTGGAGACGGTGGTGCAATCAGATAGTAGAGACCTCGTGACTCAACGCCTGCTCCAATCGTCTTCCCCGTACCCGAATCCTGCATAGAAAAGGATTGTTTAGAGAAGGTAATAGTACATGAAAGAGAATGAATCAACTGGCTAACAGAGATTAAATTAAAAGGAATGCCAGGTATATAATAAACAGAACTCAAAGTTAAAAGGGGAGTTGGGTTGGCTTCCCCAATTCCACGAGCAGGAGCCTTAGTGCCATCAATAAGAGTGACAGGGGGTAGGTTATTAAAATAAGAAAGTGAAGTGAAGAGATCTTTATTACCACAAAAATGATGAGTAGCACCTGAGTCTATTATCCAGGGTCCAAGAGATGATTGATAAAAACAAGCAACATGATTACCAGTGTCTTGAGTAGGATGCTGAGAAGAAACCTTCTTGAGAAGTGCCTCGTAGTCGGCACTTGAAAGAGTTACTAATCCAGTACAAGGTGGCGTAGCATCAGTTTGAGCAAAGTTGGAAGTCAGTGGCTTCAAATGAGGGTACTTCCTATAGCAGCATTCTTCAAAATGCCCAAGATTCTGGCAATAATTGCAACGAGGCCTCTGTCTGCGGCCACGTCTGTGACCGCGTCCACTTTTACAAATGGAATCACTGGCCCGAGAAAAGATTGGAGATGGGGTAGTACCGGAGATGATGCCAGTCGTGTTTTTGGACGCATTATTTGAGCCCTCCATCACAAAATAAAAGGAGATGACTAGAAAATAGCAAAGAACTACAAGAAAGCAAGAAATCGCGCAAAAACGTTGCACAAAAGTGTCCAAACAGTGGGTTTTTCACTGATATCTTTCAAACGGATGAGACCCACAACGAACGGAGACCAGATCTGGAAAGAGGGTGAGGAGGCGAGCAAGATGGTGGTGGTCCGGCCTGGAACGGTGGCCGAACGGTGGCTCACGCGCCGGAACAGTGGTTCGGCCGCCGGAGACTTCCACTGGCGCGTGGATGCTCCGATCAACACGCGACTTGGACAAACAGGGTCGCCTCCCTGAGCCGTTCCCGATCGCATGGTGGTTGGTCGGAAAAGTCGCCGGAAAAGCAGTCTGACGGCGGTGAACAGTGGCGGACGGTGGTTTTGTGGCGGTTTCCGGCGATGAACGGAGGCTGACGATGTTTTTCCTGATGATAAGAGGCTGAGGACAAAAAAAAAAAAAATTGTGACTAAATAAGGGTTAGGTGTGAAAGGATGGTTGCCGGTATGATGCACGGCACGATATGCGGAAGCAGGATTCCTAGAACACAAGCTCTGATACCAACTTGAAAAGGATGAATGTATTGTATATTGTGTATAATGCTGTACAAGAGTCCTCTATTTAAAGAGGTTAAATGACCTAATGGGCTAAGCCCAAATAACCTTCTAGAATAATAAACTAATAATAATAAAACTAATATTATTTCTAACATCTTTCATCAAGAATATCCATGTTACCTGAGTGCAATCATCAATAAAAGAAACAAACCACCTAGCACCTGAAATATTATGTACTATAGAAGGGCCCCAAACATCCGAATGGATAAGAGTAAAGGGCTCAATACTCTTTATTGAACTTGAAGTAAAGGGCACACAGTGGTGTTTCGCAAGCTTACAAACATCACAATGGAAGTAGTCAATTGACTGATCCTTAAACAAAGAAGGAAACATTGACTTCAATAAGCCAAATGACGAGTGCCCCAGGTGTTTGTGATGAAGCCAAATCTGTGAGAATGAAGTAGATGGGTGATGACTCATCAATAATTGATTCCCGATATCCCTTGTAGCATGCTCTGGAATGAGATAGTACCACCCACCCTACTCCTTAGCAACTCCAACCGTCCTCCCCGTGATGATATCTTGAATAACACAATGGGTAGGAAAAAAGATGACAGCACAATTCATGTTAGTTGTATGCTTATAAGTGGAGATAAGATTGGTGGAGAGCTGAGGAACATAAACAACATTTTTTAAAAATAAGGAAGGTTGAATTTGAATGTTACCAGAACCCACAACTGATTTGTGAGATCCATCAGCTACAACTATAGTACGGATACCACTAGTAAAGGGTGATATGAAAGAAAAGAATCAACTAGACAGGTCATATGATCAGTTGCACCAGAATCCATAATCCATGAATTTTTGAAATCAGTGCAAGATGTAAGAAGAGATGTAGGGTGTGTGATCTTACCAAACATAGTCGATCAGAACAGTGAAATAAAATAAATTTCTCTTCCGTTTTTTTTTTTATGAACAATACTTGTGAACAATACCGATGAACAGTGCCGATGAACAGTACCGGTGAACAGTGCGCGTGAACAATGTTGAGTGAAAAAGAAACCTTCGTAGAATGATAGATCTGAGAAAACGGAGTGAAACAGGAATCCTTACAGTCCAAAAGGTCCCCAGAATTTTTTTTTTGGCGGCGAGGGGCAAATAGGGTTTGGTTTTTATAGGTGGTGATTTGCGGAAGTAGAGCCCTCAGAATCAAGAGCTCTGATACCAACTAGAAAAGAAGATTTGTATATTATTGAATTGTATAATATTTATACAAGAATTCTCTATTTAAAGAGACTAAAAAATCTAATGGGCTAAGCCTAAATACACTTATAGAATATTCTTACTATTACAAAATAATAATAAAATAATTCTAATATTTACAATATCTATCATCAGATATATTCTTTATTGCTCAAAAGCTTTTCCATTAGTGGAGTCGTGGTGCCTCATCATAGGCTTTTCTAGATCAAGGAATACAAGTTTAGGTCTATTCATTTCATATCTTTCCATCAAACCCTGCAATAGGAATATAGCCTCCATGGTCGACCTCCCTGGCATAAAACAAAACTAGTTCTCTGATATACAAATCTCTCATCTTAATCTACTCCAATTACTCTTTCCCACAACAGTTCACAGTGCAACTCATGAGCTTATTTTCTCTATAGCTTGCCATGATTTTCCGTTCTTCCTTTATTCTTGCAAATATTTATCGAAGTGCTCCTCTCCTCTTCCACTCATCTAGCATTTCCTTACACCTTGTTTTCTCATTAGAGAAACAAAATAGTGAAAACTACAAGACCTCACGCTTAATTTGACATAAACAAACTTGATATTGAACTTAAAAAATGAAAAAGATGAATTGCTAAATAAAACTAATGTTATCAACTGGTTCCAAATTTGGATATTGATCAATCACGTGCACAATTATTAAAGACTTGAGGTCACTATTTTTTAGCAGAATATACAAGTATATGTTTTCCTTTAGATAAAGTGTTAATGCAAAGCTGCAAATTGTTTATCGAACATCACAATGCCAAAGTCAACAAAGCCAAAAATTCATAATAGTAAACCACGCAATCTTTTAGAAGGTAACCTGTTCATTCTGCAAAGATATGGCAAATCTAGAACAGTGCCACTATGGCAGGCATCAATTAGTGCGTGCAGCCTAACCCCGTGAGGAAGAGGCCTGACAATTGCTGCATTGATCTCATCATCTACAATCATACCCTGTGTTTCAAAATCAAGGGGACATAGAGTCTCATCAAATCCATCAGCTTCATCACCACTATAGTTCCTTTGCTGTGATCCATGACCAGAATAATGAAAAACCAGGGAGTCTCCTGGTTGACATCCTTGTACAAGCCAAAACATTGCCATCCTGATGTTTTGCTTGTTTGGAAATTTGGGGCCATAAGGATCTTCTTCTTCTGCATTTTGAAATTTAAATGATGATATTTAATATAAGATTTATACAAAAAAAATGTAGCACTGGAAAAAGGTCTGCCAAATGTTGAGACAAAGTCATAAATATGCAATGTATGTCAACTCTTAATATATGTACTAATACAAGAATGAACTTCAAAATATTTATGAGTTATGTTAGAATCTTTTTATTTGATTGTATTTATGATGATTCCTAATTCTTAGGTTTGATTAGCCTGTAAGCTACTAATTTTCTCCTTGGCTGTTTCTTGATTGATTGTAATCACACAATATGAGATCAGTGAGATGCCTAGACACACAATTTCTCTCAAACTTTCTGTAACCCTAGACACAATATGTGAGGTTATCGCATTCGATGAATTTGGATAGGTATGCATCTTGCTATGTATGATTGCTTGCCAAGAAATACGTCTTTCAAGTGATGTCTCTTACTTCTTCGCCATGAAAAATTCCAACCAAGCTCTTGTAGCTGAATGTCATTCTAGCCGTCTTAGCAGGTTATCTTTTTAGTAATGCTCATTTTGCATATTAGTTCTCCAGCCATAGTTTAGCGTTATTCAGCAAGCCCCATTGTGCTGAGTTATCTTCCAGCTATGGTCTAGGAAGCCCAAATTACATTTTTAATTTATTTTCTTTAACCGTGCTCATTTGTGAGAAGATGAGAACTTAGTAAGCTTCAACTTCAGTGAGAGTGTTATAATATTATCATTTATGTTTATCATTTAGTCAACTGTATTCATAATTATTGAGATTGGTAGTTCATGATTAGAGTGTAATTTCCTGTTGATTAGCTTTGAATTAGCTCTTTGATTGACTATAATCTGATGGGCTATGGGCCTCAAAGTTATTAAATTAGTTATTTTGTTATGGAAACTATTCTAGAATATTCCTAAAATATAGGATAAAAGGGAGGCAGTGTGTGTAGTGTGGGTATGCATTTTGTTAGAAATAATATTAATTTATTATTACCAATAGTCTAGATTGTGGGCTTGGCCCATTAGGTCATCCCATTAGGTCTTTTAGTCTCTATAAATAGAGAGCCTCCTTGTACAGACTCATATACTTGAATATACAATATATTTCAGATTCAATTTGGTATCAGAGCTCTCGATCTGAGGGCTCTGCTTCCGCATATATATCTTTCTCTTTCTTTTTACTGCCGTGCATCATACCGGCAACCATCCTTTCACACCTAACCCTTATTTAGTCACAAATTTCTTGTCCTCAACCACGTATCATCAGGAAAAAGATCGTCAGCCTCCGTTCATCGCCGGAAACCGCCACAAAACCACCGTCCGCCACTGTTCACCGCCGTCAGACTGCTTTTCCGGCGACTTTTCCGACCAACCACCACGCGATCAGGAGCGGCTCAGGGAGGCGACCCTGTTTGTCCAAGCCGCGTGTTGATCGGAGCATCCACGCGCCGCCACGCGCCGGTGGAAGTCTCCGGCGGCCGAGCCACTGTTCCGGCGCGTGAGCCACCGTCCGGCCACCGTTCCAGGCCGGACCACCACCATCTTGCTCGCCTCCTCACCCTCTTTCCAGATCTGGTCTCCGTTCGTTGTGGGTCCCATCCGTTTGAAAGATATCAGTGAAAAACCCGTTGTTTGGACACTTTTGTGCAACGTTTTTGCGCGATTTCTTGCTTTCTTATAGTTCTTTGCTATTTTCTGGTCATCTCCTTTTATTTTGTGATGGAGGGCTCAAATAATGCGTCCAAAAACACGACTGGCATCATCTCCGGTACTACCCCATCTCCATTCTTTTCTCGGGCAAGTGATTCCAATTGGAACAGTGGACGCAGTCGCAGACGTGGCCGCAGACAGAGGCCTCGTTGCAATTATTGCCAGAATCTTGGGCATTTTGAAGAACGCTGCTATAGGAAGTACCCTCATTTGAAGCCACCGACTGCCAACTTTGCTCGATGTTACGCCACCTTCAACTGGATTAGTAACTCTTTCAAGTGTCGACTATGAGGCACTTCTCAAGAAGGTTTCTTCTCAGCATCCTACTCAAGACACTGGTAATCATGTTGCTTGTTTTTATCAATCATCTCTTGGACCCTGGATAATAGACTCAGGTGCTACTCATCATCTTTGTGGTAATAAAGATCTCTTCACTTCACTTTCTTATTCTAATAACCTACCCCCTGTCAATCTTGCTGATGGCACTAAGGCTCCTGCTCGTGGAATTGGGGAAGCCAACCCAACTCCTCTTTTAACTTTGAGTTCTGTTTATTATATTCCTGGCATTCCTTTTAATTTAATCTCTGTTAGCCAGTTGATTCATTCTCATTCATGTACTATTACCTTCTCTAAACAATCCTTTTCTATGCAGGATTCGGGTACGGGGAAGACGATTGGAGCAGGCGTTGAGTCACGAGGTCTCTACTATCTGATTGCACCACCTTCTCCAGTAGCCTGTTCTCTCACAGAGTCTCCTGAGCTAATTCACAGCCGTCTGGGTCATCCAAACCTCTCCAAGCTTCAACATATGGTTCCCTTTTTATCCAATCTTAAGTCTTTAAACTGTCATTCTTGTCAGCAAGGAAAACACACTCGCTCCTCCTTTGCTAATAGAGTCAATAAAAGAGCTGATGCTCCTTTTTCTATTGTTCATTCTGATATTTGGGGTCCGAGTCGAACAACGTCTGTTTTGGGTTTTCAGTATTTTGTCACCTTTATTGATGATTTCTCCTGTTGCACTTGGGTTTATTTAATGAAAAATCGTTCTGAGTTATTTTCAATTTATCAAAAGTTTTGTGCAAAAATAAAAACTCAATTTGGTGCTTCTATTCAAATCTTGCGCAGTGATAATGCAAAAGAGTACGTGTCTCTTGAATTTTCTAAATTTCTGGATACACAAGGGACGATACACCAGACTACCTGTCCCCACACTCCACAACAAAATGGAGTCGCTGAACGTAAAAATAGACATCTAGTTGAAACTGCACGTACCCTTCTCATTCATATGAACGTCCCACTCCGTTTTTGGGCAGATGCTATTATCACCTCATGTTTCCTTATCAACCGCATGCCTTCTTCTGTGCTAAATAATGATGTTCCCCACAGTATTTTGTTTTCCGGAGCACCTTCTTATCCTCTGCCTTTACATATTTTTGGTTGTACTTGTTTTGTTCATGATCTTACTCCAGGTAAAGACAAGTTGACATCCAAGGCCTTCAAATGTATTTTCCTTGGGTATACACGTTTTCAAAAAGGGTATCGTTGCTATTCTCCTGATCTCAAGCGTTATATCGTTTCTGCTGATGTCACTTTCCTTGATCAGCAGCCTTTTCACTCTACTCCGTCTCCAGTGTCCCAAGTTGATCAGGTCCTTCCTGTTCCTTTTCTTGATTTGTCTTTACCAGCTGCAGGTGACCCTATTCCAGAGGAGCAACCAATTACCTCCATACCTGCATATCGTCCTCTCCTCATATACCAGCGTCGTCAGCCTGCACCTCCTCCGACTTTGCCTCTTGATGACTCATCGCCCCTTCCCGTCGGCTCTTCTCCTCCGGATCCTCCATCAGAGACTCCTCCCATTGCCCTTCGGAAAGGTATTCGATCCACTCGAAATCCTCATCCCCTTTATTCTTTCTTGAGTTATGACAGACTTTCTTCGCAACATTTTACTTTTGTTTCTAGTATCTCTTCTGTTTCCATCCCTAAAACCACAGGTGAAGCACTATCTCATCCAGGGTGGCGCCAGGCGATGCTTGATGAAGTGCAGGCACTTCACTCCAATGGCACTTGGGATCTTGTTCGTGCTCCTCCCGGGAAGTCTGTTGTTGGTTGTCGATGGGTGTTCACAGTTAAAGTTGGTCCTGATGGCACTGTTGATCGCCTTAAAGCTCGCTTAGTGGCCAAGGGATACACACAGATCTTTGGTCTTGATTATGGGGATACCTTTTCTCCTGTTGCTAAGATGGCTTCTGTTCGCCTGTTTCTTGCCCTTGCCGCCATTCATCACTGGCCCCTTCTCCAACTTGATATTAAGAATGCTTTTCTACATGGTGACTTGCAGGAGGAAGTTTATATGGAGCAACCACCAGGTTTTGTTGCTCAGGGGGAGAGTTCTGGAATGATATGTAAACTTCAAAAATCTTTATATGGCCTGAAGCAATCTCCTCGGGCCTGGTTTAGCCGCTTTAGTTCAGTTGTTGAATCCTTTGGATTAATCAGAAGCAAAGCCGATCATTCTATCTTTTACCGGCATAACTCTTCTAGCCAGTGCATTTATCTCCTGGTCTATGTTGATGACATTATCATTACAGGCAGTGATCAGACCGGGATTGATCAGTTGAAAAAGCATTTATTCAATCAATTTCAGACCAAAGATCTTGGCAGACCTCGATATTTCTTGGGGATCGAAGTTGCACAGTCTAGGCGGGGCATTTCCATCTGTCAGAGGAAGTATGCACTGGATATCCTAGATGAGACTGGCATGTTAGGTTGTAAACCCATTGATACACCTATGGACCCCAATGTTAAGTTATTACCAGGACAGGGGGAGCCACTGCCAGATCCTAGTCGCTACCGCCGACTAGTTGGAAAATTGAATTATCTTACTGTGACAAGGCCAGATATCTCCTTCGCAGTGAGTGTTGCAAGTCAATTTCTTGATTCTCCTTGTGACTCCCATTGGGATGCAGTTATTAGAATTCTCCGATATATTAAAAAGGCGCCAGGAAGAGGTTTATTATATACAAATAAAGGGAGTTCAGAGATCTCTAGTTATTCAGATGCTGACTGGGCAGGTTCTCCTTCAGATAGACGATCCACCTCAGGGTATTGTGTTCTCTTCGGAGGAAATTTGATCTCTTGGAAGAGTAAGAAGCAAACTGTGGTCCCAGATCCAGTGCGGAGGCAGAATATCGGGCAATGGCAAATGCAACCTGTGAGCTCATCTGGCTGAGTCAATTGCTGAAGGAACTCCATCTCTGTGAACAAAGGCCTATGAAGCTCATTTGTGACAACCAAGC